GTCGTCGTCGTCGTGTCTCTGGTGTGTGTGTGTGTGTGTGTGTGTGTGTGTGTGTGTGTGTGTGTGTGTGTGTGTGTGGGTGTGGGTGTGTGTGGCTGTGTGCGTGTGTGTGTGTGTACACATGCATGGCTGTGCCTTTACTTACATATAATATGTAGCTATCTAATTGTTTTTATAAAAAGTTATAAATAAGCATGTTAAATGTAAAATCAGTCTTTTGTTGACCCGAATATAATAAATATAATCACCTTTAACCAAAATTAAAGACATTTTTTTTAATTCATTGCAAAAACACATTGATTCTAATTGGGGTCATTTCTGACCCCACTCATGGAAGAGTGTAGGTATTGGTCGTTCATGCATCTAAGGGTGTTCTTAAGAGTGTGCAGCTAGTTTTTATTGTTTGTGTTTCGGGGGGTTGTGACAGCCAATATGTGTGTGGGGGAAGTGTTGTATCAGACGGCAGCAGGAGGGTGCTTTGACAGTCCTATGGTTAGGGCTCGGAAGGAAAATGCGGGAGCCAAGTTAGCCCTGGGAAACCACCAGCACCCTGCAGCTCAGACTCATTCCAAACCAAACTCCAGGAATTTTCAACAGTTCCATTTATTCCTCATTGGGATAGTGTCTGCAAACCTTAACAATGTTGCTTTCAAAGATGATCTGAGAAACAACAAAGCGTGTCTCAGGGTAATTCTGTAATCCTGTGTTGGGCCTTTACTTTAAGTAGAAAGAAATGTAGGCCTTTGTTTGAGACCAATTCAGTATAATTGGACTTTTATAAACATCAATTATTCCCAGACTGTATGAAAATACAGTCATTTCAATACAATGTAATTTGTCTTTTAAAAATGTTACATTTCTTAAATGTTGACACTGGAGCTTTTGGTCAATTTTTCTAAGAAGGTTATAGCTCAAGTTGAAGTCATCAAAGGACGTACCGTTGTTCTTATTGTTTAGTAGAAGCCTGACACAACACTAACATGGCAAGTTAATTCACTTTTACATGTCTAGCACAGTGTATGTGTTCATGATAAAAAAAAATGTCTGGTTCCTATTCACATTGACTTTCTTTAAAAATGAACTGAGAGTAGTTCAAGTTAAAGTGGACCTATTATGCTATATTGGAAACATATATGGTAGGGCCATACCTATACAAAACATGTCTGTGAAGTTTTTTGCTTAA